GTTTTTCGAAAATCCGATTTCATATTCTTGTTTAGGGGGTCAAATTGAGTGGGAAATGGGTCTAACCCAAATTTTAGAGCAACCGTATCAAAATCCGAAATTTCCAAGTGAAGCCTTTTTCGAGGGTCTACTTTGGAGGGTCATATCTCCTAGCACACAAATTATTTGGTGGCCAATAATATATCCATGGAAAGCCCTTTGAGTTAGCTACCTAACGCACTTCGTTTCACCTCATTCGGAGTTCGGACGAAGAAGTTATGCCCATTTTCGTAAAATCTGTCCGGCAGGAAAGGCAATTTCCAGTGAGCGTTTTTACTGTTCACCTGCCTCATTTTTTTTTCTAAGTGTTGGACCATTTTTCCAAAGGGCATATGTTATTTCCTATATATCATTAGTTCAACTCTCATCTCAAAAACATTTCCCAAAACATCTCTCCCATACTTAGACACATTTTCTCTCAAGTTCTCTCAAGAACCCTAATCCAAAACCTTCCTCAAGATTGAAGAGACTCTTGCTCCAAGTTCCAAGCTTCCATTGAAGACACTCTCAAGACCTTCATAAAAACTCAAGGTATGTGGTGTTGAACTCATGGGTCCTTCCACCCATAGTGCCTAGACTCTATTCTACTCACTAATTCATGGTTTAAGTTAAGATTCATAAATTAGTCTTGTTCTTTGTAATAATTTCCTGCACATTGAATTTTAAACATGAAAAGTGATTGTTTTGAGCATGTTGTGACCCTAGAACTTGAACCTAAATTTGGAATGGATGTGGAGATTTTCATGTGGTATTATGGGTGTTAAAAAGGTATTGTTGTAGGTTGTTCACTGGTTTGGCTGCATAATTACTACCCTATTTTCCATGCTCTTAACCATGTGAGAGGTTTATATCTCACCACCTAGGATGCTTGGGGTGTGACCAACATCAACCATGTGAGAGGTTTATATCTCACCACCTAGGATGCTTGGGGTGTGACCAACATCAACCATGTGAGAGGTTTATATCTCACCACCTAGGATGCTTGGGGTGTGACCAACATCAACCATGTGAGAGGTTTATATCTCACCACCTAGGATGCTTGGGGTGTGACCAACATCAACCATGTGAGAGGTTTATATCTCACCACCTAGGATGCTTGGGGTGTGACCAACATCAACCATGTGAGAGGTTTATATCTCACCACCTAGGATGCTTGGGGTGTGACCAACATCAACCATGTGAGAGGTTTATATCTCACCACCTAGGATGCTTGGGGTGTGACCAACATCAACCATGTGAGAGGTTTATATCTCACCACCTAGGATGCTTGGGGTGTGACCAACATCAACCATGTGAGAGGTTTATATCTCACCACCTAGGATGCTTGGGGTGTGACCAACATCAACCATGTGAGGGGTTTATACCTTGCCACCAGGGTGTCCGGGTGTGAACGGCATCCCCCATCCTAAGTTGGGGTTATAGATTGGTTGGATCATGCATACACATATGATATCTACTATTAGTATAGAGTTACTTAAACATGTTTTGACTTCACTTTGATCATGCATCCTCATATTGTTATTCATAATGCCTATGAAACTATTTCTTGTATTTCGATTGTGTCCTTGTTTATTGTTGTGTTGCACCCCGCATACTTAGTACATTCCAAGTACTAACGCATATTTTGCCTACATGATGTCACCATGTAGGGACCGGAGCTACTCTTGATCCTTCTCTCCATTCACGTGGCTAGTACGACGCTTATCCGAGTTTGTTGGTGAGTCCTCAATGATTCGAGGGCTATGTTATGTTTCCTACTCCTATGTTTTGAGACTTTAGCTTGCAATTGTATTTTGACTATGAGGGGAGCCGGTAGAATGTCATGGCCCCGTCCTATCTATGTATGTAGAGGTGTGCGTTTGACAAATATTTTGTAAATGAGCTTGACTCTTATTCTATGATGTCATTTTGAAATGGTTTGGCCTTAGTCCCTATTTCCCGTTAATTAATGTTGAATGTACTTCCGCGACCGATGAAGTGTGATGACAAGTTTGAGAGGCTTGTTTGGGGTTCCTTCGGGTTCCTCATTCGCCATGTTACGTCTAGGCCCTAGTCTTGGGTCGTGACAACCATCGCACTCCCAAACAACGAAGGAAAATGTGTTGTCCAATTTCTAAAATGCTACATCTTTGCAAGATTTGTCACTCCTAGGGAAATCATTAGCTATTGGGGGTCCCACTTTTGCAATAGGTGGTTTTCAATGGCATTGAGCAAATATGGGGTGATATACAAGGTAGCAACCCCATATCACCCCCAAACATGTGGCCAAGTCGCAGTGTCAAATTGGGAAATCAAAAACATCCTGGCAAAGACAGTAAATGCCAACAGAACTGATTGGTTTAGGAAACTCGATGATGCACTATGGGCATATCGAACTGCTTACAAAACACTTATTGGTATATCTCTATATCAGTTGGTTTATGGTAAGGCTTGTCATTTGCTCGTCGAGTTAGAACACAAAGCATTATGGGCATTGAAAGCTTTAAATTTGGACGGGTCAAAAACATCAAGAGAGAGGGTAGAGCAGTTCAACGAACTGGATGAATTTAGACTCAGATCGTATGAAAGTTCAGCCATCTACAAAGAGTACATGAAGAAATGGCATGATTCTCGGATACTCAAGCGGGGCTTCAATGCAGAAGATTGGGTTTTGCTATATAATTCTCGACTTAGACTCTTTCCTAGAAAGCTCAAATCCAATGGTGAGTGTTCACCAATGGTGCCATAGAAGTTGAAGATCAAGAAGGACCTCCATTTAAAGTGAATGGTCAACTTTTGAAATTTTATTTTAAGGATTGTCAAGAGATTTCTTTGGTTGAAGTGGTGTATTTCGAAGACGCCTGAAGGCGCTGCTGCGTCATGTACCGACGTTAACAAAGGCGTTGTTTGGGAGGTAACCCAAAACCCCTTTCATTGTTCTTATTTATTATTTATTTCTTGATAAAATAATGGTGTGTTGCTTGTAAAGGTTAAAGTATGAGAAGTGTTCGAAAAAGTGAAGGATGGTAAGCAATAGATCCAATTAGCGAATCATCAAACAGTTCGGTGACTCCGAACTAGAACGCCGTTAGACTCAAGACCATCTTACAGTGGAGTCTGTAAAACTCGGTGAGTTTTGGAAATTAATGGCGAATCGCCGACTATGTCAGCGTTCACGATTGAAACTGCCATTTGGATCTCCCGTAAACCAGAGGTCCTGTAAATTTCAGTAAAGAAATTAAACAAATGGCGTTCCGTCGAGTGAATAGGTGAGCTTGACGAATATCGCCGAGTGGGCGAAAACTGGACAGTTTTTGCAAGCCAACGGTTTAAAATTTTCAACTTCAATCACTTTCCCTCCCTTTTTATCTGTCCAAGCACACACCTGCACTCTAGTTCCTATATTTTTGCATCTCTAGAGTATTTTAAGTGTAAGTGTGAAATTGTTCTACGAGTTTGATTACATTGCTTCCTAGCATCTCAATATCCATTTGTTCGGCATAAAAGGTTGGTACTTCAAACTCCGCATTCCTTTCCTCAAAAGTTGTACTCACATGAAATGCCAGTACTTTTATGATGTGTGTTGGGCCTCTCTGGTAGGATTAGAATATTTGTTTGCCTGTTAGGTTCACAATTTTTGCCCGTACTAAGTCAAATAGTTAATTCCTAAAGGCTGCACTTTAAATTGGAGTAAAATTGTGGGTTATGCATGATTGTCACTGGGTCTAAGACTAATTTAAGTTGTGTATGCCTTAATTTTATTTTCGTGGGTTGCAGGGTTGAATTCCGGAAGTTGGGTCTAATGCAGGCAAGTTGGGTCATTTGACGAGCTGGTTCGAGCTCGCCGAATCACTCGGCGGTTCGCTTTAAATCTCCATCTCACCTTTAATTTAGTGCCAAATATGATGTTTAATTCTGTAACTTTCGATGAGAAGACTTTGATCACCAAAAGAATTCAGCGACTCGCTGAAAGACTTCTGGTTCACCCTTTGTCTGCACCCTTGTAATCTTTGTGCGCTGCACTCAGCGAACCGCCAAAGTAGGTGCGCACTTCACCAACTGGTTCACCGAAGTGATTTTGCAATTGATCTGCCTTGCTTTTGTCTAAATTCTTTCTAACTTTTTCTCGAAGATTTGCAGAAATGGCTAGAACGAAAGTAGTTAGAAGAGATATGCCACCCCGATAAACAAGAGCGAAAAATTTCAAGAAAAATACAAAGGCAACAAATCCTACCAAAACGGATAATGAGGGAAAGAAGACCAGTTCCAGCAAGAGAACGAATTCCCGAGACCCCATTATTCTGTCATGGAGACGTGGATTCTTCACAGCTATCCACTCCTTTTTGGCAACTCATGAATTAGACAATCTAAGTAAGTCACCTGCCACTGAATCTTCTAAAGAAGCTCCGCGGGCCAATATCAAATTCCAGGCTGACACATCGGGCAGTGATGCCTAGACAGATGGAGCGACTGTGTAGACAAGATTTTTCTCTACCTCCCTCTCTGTCTTTATTTATTCTAAAGTCTGGATATTCTGTTATTTGCATTTGAGGACAAAAGTTTTATTTCTGGTGGGGTGAGGCCAACACCTTTTGTGGGCTACTTTTGTTCGTGTTATGTGTATATATTTTGGCCGATCAGCTTTAAAATTGTGCTAATACTGCTTTTCTGTTGATGTTTGAGCTTGTGGCTCCTTTTATTTTAAACATGCAAAATGATTTTGATCCGTCCAAAATTTTTGCCACATCTCGTGTGTTGAATGTGATTATTCTTTTCCAAAATTTAAGTCTCGGTCCCGATCAATACCGATAACTTGAGTAGTGCCTACAATCGAACGAACATGAATGCGCGTCTATGATGAGGCCAAATGAAGTTGCATAGACAATATGTGAACTCTTTGCATCTCGTTGTGATTAGCCATTTATCAAATTGATTCTCTTGTGATGACCGTTGCACAGTAGCGAAAGTGTGGAGTCTTGTTTAACTTAAGTGTCGATACCTTTTGTGATAAGCTTACCTGGAACCATGCATGGCAACATCTATAATTTGCCCTGTTGGTCCGGTTGACTAAGTAAGACTTTTTTCTTGATATGATCTTAGGCAACTTCGAAGAGTGTGAACTAATTTGACATATACCTCTTTTGTGACCCACCTTGTGTGCGTGTGATTCTCTCTTGAGTACCCTTTTAGACTTACCCTTCTTTGAAAGAAACTTGATGAAAACTAGACCTTTTATAATCCATTACCTATAATCCTCTTTAATTGTGGTTAGTTAAATAGCCAACTTAGGCCAAAAGCCTAAGTTGGGGGTGTGGTGAAAAACAAAAGGGAGAGTTAAGAAGTGCAAGGAAAGTCTCCTTTAACCCATGGTGTTGAGAAAAATGGAATGTAGCGATCCTTTCAAAACAATACCACTACATAAACAAGAAATCTAATTAAATACTTGCGACATTTAAAACCAATTAATCAGAGCATACTGATTCTAATCTAGTAGAGGGATTAGATTCATAACGAACTCCAAAAAAAATATAACATTTAAGCAATTAACCGACCAGATCTTCAGGCATATGTTAACCTCACACTCGAGGGTGAAATAACAAGAATATTACATGCTTCCGAGTACCGATATCAGCCGGCTAATGCTTCACACAACTTTCAAGACATATAGCAAATTAGTATATTACAAGACTTGAGTTTACACGCCCCAAAAAGATAAAAACGTATAACCATACTTATATTACAACCCATGGTGACATGACCAAATCAGCCCTCAAAATCTCCTGCAAATATACAACATAAAAATCATGTACAAGTCCCAAGGTTTAAACAAACTATATATGCCTATATGCAAATGTGATCTTCCTTAAGGCTTTCAAAATCTCCATCTTCAATGGCCAGCTTCAAGCATCATCGCGAACAGCCCCTACGATAGAAACAACTATCGCTAAGCAAATACCTTAGTGGTGTAAAAACTATAGGTTTGGAGCCCTCAAATTCGACAAGTTATCATTCTCAAGTGAAGGGCAGCACGATCAAAACAAAATCAATAAATCAAGTAAACAATATGCAAGGAGTATCAAGTTCAGTATTTAATGGTCCAAATGTCAAGAATGCTCATAACACAACTTTTCAATAGATTCAACAACAAGGCTCACCCAATATATACATCATGTCGTCATACTAAGCACGAGAAGGTATCAAGAAGGATCAACGCCCTACATCAAGAAGGGTCAAAACCCAATAATCAAGAGAACCAAGAACCATATTAAAAATGGCTTCCTAGTTCGTACTTAAAATGGACAACTTCCATTCTTAAGACGAACTAAAAATCCAAAGTCAAGATGGCAAATGATCCGAGCCAAGAGTCATGCCAAGAGTGACGAAGTTACAGCCACAAGAAGGACAAGGTCCCAACAAGAGTGCCAAGTGATCAGACTGTCCATACAAGTAGGCGAATTACACAAGCATCTTTAATGTATTAAAGAATACCAATACGACAATGCAAAGGGACAAGATGTAACCAAAGTACCAAGATAACTTTCAGATATACCAACAGGTAAAAGAAAATACAAGTATAAGTTTATACACAAACCTTAGTTCTTTAGCACAAAAACAGCCCAACAAAACTCCACGAGTCAAACCGTAGACCTAGCAGCGTATCAAAGTCTTCAACTTGTACACGAGGATATACAACCTTAAAAATGAATTCAATAACTTATTTACTTTATAGCAGCTTAATAATGATGATATATAATAGGGTTATCATCTTAAGTAAGCCTAGCCTGTACAAATACGACTATGCTCCCGAACAGTAAATTTTGGCCATCCTAGTGCATCATGTCACAACTAAGATTTGAAATGGCAAACGGCAAAACTGGACTGTATACTCTTCGTGAAAGATGTAGGTACATCTCTTAAGGTTGCAAAGAAAGAAGAATTACCTCAAAATGTATTTTGGATAAAAAGATATATTCAAAACACTAACAGGTGTCCATACATGATTTCAACCTTCAGAATCCAGACAGAACTTGTCCTATGATGCGTCCCATATTTCGAATCCATAACAACCAAATTAGAGTTTAACATAAACATAAGAGTTGTACATATACGAATTACCTTTCTAAATCATATTTATTCACAGTAAACAAAGTTCTACATAACGATATATTCTTAATCTACTAAACGCTACCCAGCTCAAAAATAGGTTTTACTACTTACCAAAGAGAAGAGTGTAACTCGATTTCCAGCCAAAAGGACCAAGATTTTCTCGTGTGATCTTGAAGAACAAAAGGTTAGATAACGTTCTAAGGGACTTATACTTCAGCTGAGACGAATTTCCTAAGAGGAGGTGTCAAAATATAGTAACACAAGAGGTGCTTATCATATACACAGTTGTCCCTAAAAGTTGGCTGCCCAAATAATTGTGTGCTGCCCAATTGCATACATATACACCTATATATATATATCCTTCACC